AACCTCTCTTATCATGTGACTTGTTTTGTATGTTTGTTAAACTATATTATCACATAAGCATTGCTGCTATTGGGACAAACAGTGACAGTTGATTCAGGTCATTTGAATGTCCACTGTCTGTTTTAATTTGTATGTTCGTTTTGACTCTGTCATATGCTCAATCTTCAGTGGAAGTCATGAGAACTTATTATTTTTTCCGGCTCCCTCCTTTACATTGGAAATATTCTTTTTTACCCAGAGGGACCTTAACTTTGATGTAAGGGATTGTTTCCATTGTCAACTTTTTTCTTCCTTGCCAAGTAAGAGTTGTGAACTCTTCAGTGATGCCTTTCCCAGGATATTTGCAGATGTGGTTGGGAAAAGTCATTTCATCCCCGACCTTTGCATGTCAGGTGCTGGGGTGCCCGGGTGCTGGGGTGCCCGGATGCTGCCTGGCCTGCACCCTGGCTCTCTCTCCCTCCGATCGCCATGGGGATCACGGGGCCTCAGGCCAGCTGGCAACCCCGGCCCCCAGGGGTCCCGGGTTGCTGCCTGGCCTGCGCCCTGGCTCTCTCTCCCTCCGATCACCATGGCGATCACCGGCCACTAGCATCCAGCACCCCCGGTCAGGGGGTGTCGCCTGGCCTGCTGCCCGGCTTTCCGATGGCGATCACTGGCTGGGAGGTGGGCAAAGGCGGCCTTTACCCGCCCCCCAGCTCTTGCCTGCCGCCTGGGTTTCTGATCACCGTTCTTCCGTCTTTCCCCTTTCGCCTCCCATCATTGTGTGTATGCAAATTAACCGCCATCTTTGTTGGCAGTTAACCGCCATCTTTCTAGGCAGTTAATTTGCATATTGCCCTGATTGGCCAATGGGAAGTGTAGCGGAGGTACGGTTAATTACCCTTTTTGTCTTTTATTAGATAGGATTATGCTATGTAATACTGATTTATCAGTAATATCAATCTCAATGCAATTATCACCTGATTGATGAAAAAACTATGGTACAGGGTTATAAACTTGTTCAGGGTTACAGTGGAAGCAGAAACACTATGATTGAAACCCAGGTTTTCTGGTGATTTACTCCTAGAATATAACGTGGGATTTAAACCTTTGACTAGGTCATCAAGTTTTCTGTGTCCATCACAAAGTGTGACTTATGCCAACAAATGAAGGCAACACAAGCTAGGAGGTCTGAGGATCTGTATTACATCAGAATGAGATAGCATGCAGTTAAAACCCCACCAAAAAAATATATTTAAATTCCACCAGTGTTGTAGGTAAGGGACAGACTTCTGGGAGTACAACTGAACTTGGACTTGGGGAAAGCCAACAACAACAGCAACAACAACAACAACAACAACAAAACATTTCTATTACTATTAAATCGAATTAAACTTCTGGTGATTAACCAAGCTTAGTGCCAAGATAGTCTTACCAAGCATCATAATTGCTTTTAAAACAGCAAACACTGCTCCCACTTCGATGCTGTTGTGAGCAGCAGCTAAAAGGTGTCTATCACAAGATGATCTTATTCCAGGGAAAGTTTTGCCTATGAGAACAAAGAACAAGCCTTTCATCGTCTCATCACCATTATTAACAGTGTTTTGTAACCATTTACAGTCATAGGGCTTTTCACTGTTAGACTGTGGGCGCTTAATTGCCATTAGCTAGCTTTAATTGATGCTTCATGAATTCACTAAGAAACATTGCCAGCACCCTGTACTTAACCGTTTCTTTTTTTACTATTAAAATAATAATGTTTTTGCTCCTTAGAGAGATGTGTCAAAAACATTAGGATTTTCATCCATTTATGCTGATGGTCTCTCTCTTCTCTCTCTCTACACACACACACACACACACACACACACACCCTAACATGGAAATTATCTTTAGGAACAGATTTTACCAGCATCCCTAGATGTTTTCCCTTTAGTAAAAACATAAATGAATCACTGTCCTAAGCTTCTATGCTGTGGTTCACAACTAACATGCATAGTATGTTAGAGGATCACGCTGCCCACCAGCATGGCTGGCCTAAGAGCAAAAGTATTTTTATTGTTTATTAACTCTGGATTTGAGTTTCTCAACACATCCTGATATTACATAAATGAAAGGTGTTGACAGCCCTCTCAGTGGCATCATTGCACCCCTTCATCACCCTCAAGCAGGCCCCCCAAAGTCAGGAAGGAAATTACAGAATGAACAGCCTACTTGGTCATTTGAGAACCTGGAGCTGCAAATGAAAACATAATCAGAGGTTTGGGGCTATCAGCTCACCGGCTGCTTGAGGTAATAAGCAGGCCTGGGGGGCTCGGAAGAGATGGAGCAGGAGGCGGCAGGTCATCCTGGCCCCGGGCTCGGCATCCGCGTCTCCACAAGCTGGGGAAGAAGGATTTCCAAAGCAAGTTTCCTCACATGTTCAAGAACATGTCTCCAGGCTTGCTATTAAGCTAAACTTTCTGGAATAATGTGAAAACATGCTACTTATGGTAAAAAGTAAGACACCAGCTACATTTTCCTGAGAAACTCGAATGTACGTGCTTCCTCAAAACCAGGTACCAACATCCAGGGAGTCACAGTGCTCTGGGTAGAACAAGATATACAATTCTACCATCTTTACCTGCAGGCCACACCACGGCCCAACGCACGTGCCCTTGAATACTACCCTCACTGGGTTTCACTAGTTAGACACCATCCCACCAAGACCAGCATCACATGCCCACGCTGTCCCGGATGCCACCTCACCTGCCGCGAGGAGAGAGGGCAGTGCCACGTGCTGCACGACGTCCTCCAAGGAGAAACACTGTCGTGCTATCAGAATAGCAATGAAAGTAGCTAGTGAATCATGGAATGAAAGGTCACTCACCTTCAAGAAAAACATTGACACGTTTTAATACCTAACACCCTCTTCAGTAACAGCTAAGATTAATATCTAAGAGAATGTAGGCAACACCAATGAGGTTTCAGATCCTCAAATGAGTGAATGAAACTTAGCATGAGTATTCTCCTCTAGGCCTATTTCTACTTTATAAGACAATGAATGAGGTTTACCCACACATCCCAGTGCTGTAAGAAGACACTGGGCTTCATCTTGAGTACAAATAATTGGGGGGAAAAAAAACAATAAGAAAAAAAAAATCAAGAAATCCCTAAAAGATGTAGCAAAAATACAACTTTTCTGCAAAATTCAGTAGGATCTGTCATTTAAGGGTAGCCATTAATAAGCAAGGAAAAACCTGGAGGTTGCCCTAGTTAAAACACAAGCCTCAGTAATGGTTTGGGGTTCTATTCAGGGATAACAAAGTAATGAGTCTTTAATATAAGTAAATTAGTTTTAAAAATAACTCTGAAAATTTACAATTGACTCCTAAATTTTAAAAGGAGAGAAAAGAGGAAGAAAAGTTATTTCATTCATAATATAACCTCTACCTTTACAGATTTCACAAGACTTTGGCAGAAAATAATAATAACAATTTAAAAAGCTATAATAGCAACCTTAGTATTAAGTTGTAGTATATGCCAGGGAGTGTGGGTAGCAATCTACAAAAAGTCACCTCATTTAACTGCACAACACCATGTGAGGTTCATACTACTGTTAATTCCAATTTTATAGATGAGTGAACTAACTAGAGGTAAAGTATAACAAAAACAACTAAGAGGTTAAGGAACAATGTTAAAGATAAAAATATGTGTCTTTCCTGTCTAGAAAAGCAGGCCACAGGTAGGAGTTTGACATGCCTAAAATCTTAGCGAGACACAGAATGGAGTAGGACTGTCCAACCCAGACTTGAGATATCAGAACTAGGAAGTTCAACTTCAACTGGGAGGTATTTTTTTAAATGTATAAAATTGTTCTATATGTACGATATATTAACATACAAAAGATCACACCAAGAAGTGATAGGCAAAAATAGGTAAAGAATTAAGATGGATTTTTAAGAAATTCACATATCATGCATATGATATTCTAGGAAATCTGTGATATAAATGGGTATATTTTCATCACTTCCAGACACAATCACTAAGAAAGACTGGATGCCCCAATGAATCTGAGCCTGGATATTCTCATGCAACACAGCACCAACCACACTCTGGTATACTGCTTAAAGTGAGAAAAGGAAAAAAATTTTACATTTCAGTTAAGGGTTGAGCCAATTAAAAAATATTGCTCACTAACTAAATATTTAATTGCAGTTGAGTTTTTAAGTGAAAAAGAACACTTACATCTACTGTGCAAAGTACATCATTGAACCCCCACACGTGATTGGAAGAACAGCAGAGAGCCTTCAGAACTCCCAGCCACTCTGAACTAAGAACAGTGCAGCATGCTGTCAGCTCGGAGGAGAAATTGGCTATGTCATTAATCCTAGAAAGAAGAAAAAGAACAGACACAGTATAAAGTAACAAAAAAGAAATACTGCATGTGACATACTTAAGAACACATATTTCACTACCATAAACAAGTCATTCATTTCTTATAGTCAAGGATATAATAAATACCCACTTGACAAATAACCTAGTAGAACCTGGAGAAGATAAAAGGGAATGGCTTTAAATGTTTTCTGTTTTTAATGCTGGTAAACAACAAACAATAACCATTACAGATGTCAATTACTCTGTGAAAAAACTTAACCTATACAATGACCTTTTAAGAACATAAATTTTTTTTTTAGAAACTATGTAATTTAGGTAGGCCTAAATACAGTATTTTTAAAATATAGACAATTTTTATTTGTATTTTTTCTTGTATATGTTTTTGTCTCTTGGGTTAAGGAAATCATAGTACAGAGCAGATAAAATAATATACAAAAAAAAAAGAGAAAACAACATTCAACTGTCAGCCTAGGCAATTACTAAGGAAGTTAATTTCAAAGTAGCACCAAAGCAACAACTGTGGTTAGTCACAAATTTCAGGGTAACTCAGCTCACCTTCCAGCGTCCTGATGGCCCATACATACATTCATGAGTGTATTGCAGACGAAGCTGTAGCGATTGGCCGCATTGTCACTGAGGATCTTGCCTAGCATAGAGTAGTTGATGCTACAAGCTGAAGGATTCTCAATAAAATCCATCATGAAGTCCGGATCCCATCGCAAGTTAGAATTAGCAGGTATCACATTATTATATATGGTCTGCTTAACTTTTGAACAGGCACTACTGAGGTTACAAGAAGAAGAGTTAAGAAAAAAAACACACTAGAATAACTAGAAAGTTAGTTAATTTAAGGACAGATTAAATGGTAGCAACTGTAATGTATTCTTATAAAAGAGTCACATTGAGTTCTTGATTCCAATTTCTTAATAATCAGCACTGAACACAGTGGCTGGAATGTATTCGTTGGTCAATAAATAGTTGCTGAATGGGTTGTGAAGAACAAAACAAGAGTAAGAACTTGGTTACTAATCTTAATTATTTTCTAATTTTTTTCTACATTTTATATGTTTCAAAAATAAAAGAATTTACTAAGGCTTTCAACAACTATCTCTAAACAGTAGTTGCAAAGTGTTATTACTTAAGAATAAAAATATGTTAGACTAAACATCAGGAATAATTCAGGGCTTAGTAGTAATTACATATCCTGCAAAACTATTCCTCTAGGTACAGGGTATCCAGCAGAGGTCAAGTGGTCAGAGCTGTGAAAGAGAGGCTCATTCCCTGCCCTCCAGGAGCTTGCATTCCAGTTGGGGGAAACGGATGATACACACATTAAATAAGAGTGAATAAACTATTATTCCTAAAAGTTTATCATGTTCTGTCTTGTAGCAGGATTATGAGATTTTTAAGAGGCTGGCTTATCATGAAAACAGAGTATGTTTCAGTGAGTTATATCTGAATATGACATAGAATGTTAGAAGTACAAAGGGAATTAGAAAGTATCTGATCCAATCTGGCTCTGCAGATGGAGCTGAGGGACAATCTGATTTCAAAGCTCAGATCCCATGTATACTCAGCTATTCCTTCCTATTGCTGTGGACATGAGTTCACAAGCAGCATCCACCTCTATTCAAGAGCTCTCTTATGCAGCAGAGAATCTTTTTCTTTTAGATTAACTTTTTGGCAGCAAATTTATTTGTGATGAAGGCAACATATGGCTTTTTACCCCTAGTGTTATACACCTACATAAATAGTACCCAGAAATGATTGCTTTAAAAATGAAAAGGCATACAAATAACACTCTTTACCCTAAACTGTTGCCACTGCCAACTGCTTTAAGAAAACAGAGATTGTTCAATTTGTGGTTTACCAAAACCTCCTCCTTCAGAATCACCTCTGGGTGGTCTGTTAACCATAAAGACTCCTGGACCTCTGTAGGTTTACTGAATCTGTATGTTTAAAATGCTGTTCCAGGTAAATCCAGGTGCCAAAAGTGCTTGGGAAGCACTGGTCCATTAGAGAGGACTAAACCTACCCACTAAATGGCAGTAATTGTAATCTACACTATCTTTCTTTCCAGGTAACTTATGTAAAAACTCCTCAGTGGTCACTGAAGAATGCACATTTACCATCTAGAGTTATGACCTGCTCAAAATGATGGATGCTATACAGTCTTCAGGGCTTTTAAAATCTCCAGTTTCTGACTTAAAAACTCTTGCCAACTTTCTACTTAACTTTTCTTTCATTCTCACTTAGCAATAGTTCCTAATTCATTTCATTTTCCCACTAAAGATGAAACAAAATCAAACTTTGCTCGTTGCTGATTCCCTCCCTAACACCACATCCTTGGTTTCCTCCACCTCCCAATTCACTGAGTGTTGGAGGAAACAGTCTTCTGCAAGTAGTGAAGCATTGTCTATTTTATTCAGCCTCCCACTTAATTCTAACATGCTATTCATTCCTGCCTTTAGAAACAAAAGAATTCTGCCGACCTCCAGCCAGGAATGCTCACTTTTTCTGAACTCTATGGCTCATGGGAAAGTCTCCTCGCCCTTCATTTCTAGGCTTCCTCTTTCATTTATTAGACTCTTTCCAGGTGAGCGTCTATGTTTTATTAAAAAGTCAGCTGCTACCTCGGTCACTCTCAGATTCTTACCACTCTCTGTGCAGGCATATATGGGTTTAAGGAAAATAACCTAGGTATTTCCCTTCTGAAATTGCCTGTATCAAAAAACCCGATAGACTCCGATAGAGTGATGAAAGCAACACACACCTGGAGGCCAAAATTACTTATGTTCAAGTCTAAGTTTCATCATTTATTAATTAGGATGAGGAACAATCATTTGGTGATAGGAACATCATTTCTACTTCCTGGGGTTGTTGAGTGGAGTAAGGATCTTGATGGAAATAGCCCAGTGCTGTGCTTGGCACAAGCAGCAGCTCAATCAGTGGTAGGTGTGAATATGTCCCCCAAATATTTCTCTTCCACAACTTTATAGATGGTGCTTCAGATCCAATTATTAAAACTGGTTTATTAGTATATTAACAGAAATCTCTCTGCATATCTAGCTTTTGTTGGGCCATATTTCTTAATCCCAAACTGCAAATAATGTCTGACTTCCAGGTTTCCTGGGACAGCTGTTTCTCTGCCACTTCTTAATCAAGGGAACCTCAGCCAGTGTCACAGCTGTGGGGCACCCCTGTGCTGATCCCGAGCAGCCCTCAGTGCAAGCTGGTCTCCTGATCTCCATGCACCCAGGTTACAAGACTGGAATGAACTCATTTACACTGCCCGGCAGGAGCGTTAGGGCTCCTGGAGCTTTCTTGGAAGTTCACTATTAAGAACAGGGCTGTTGCCTAAAGTGAATCACGTATGAGAAAGCTCTCTAAAAACTGCCAACTGAAAGCTCTGTGTGAAAAAGCAGCAGGATACAGGTTATTACTGCTCTTACATAATTTCTGTGAAAAGATGTTTCATAAGATTCACTCAAACAGCATCCCTGTAAGGGATTATTTTGAAACCTAACCATTCATGGAGACATACTTTCACATTTTTCCCTATTGATACCATGAAAAGTTTCATGATATTTTTGTATATATCTTTTATTTAACAGACATTTTTTTAGTGCTTCCTATGTGCCAGACACTCTTCCAGGTACTGGGGCATAGCAGCGAATAAAACAGAAAAACTTTCTACTGTTGGTAAGCTTACATTCTAGGAAGGAGAGAGATGATAAATAAATATGCAATGTGCCAGGGTTAGTGCTAAGGTCAAAGAATGACAGTGTAGGCAGAGGGGTATGCTATTTAAAATGCAGTGGTTGGGCCCTACTTGGTTTGGCTCAGTGGATAGAACGTTGGCCTGCGGACTGAAGGGTTCCAGGTTCGATTCCAGTCAAGGGCACATGCCCGGATTGCAGGCTTGATCTCCAGTTGGGGGCGTGCAGGAGGCAGCCAATCAATGATTCTCTCTCATCATTGATATTTCTCTCTCCCTCTCCCTTACTCTCTGAAATCAATAAAAATATATTTTAAAACAAACAAACAAATAAATAAATAAAAGGGGTGGTTGGGAGGAAAGTCGTGAATGAACTGTGGACGTGAGCATGCAAGTAACTAGGGAAAACACAAGAGAGGTAATAGCAAGTGCAAATGCCCTACAATGGTTGCTCAGAGTGTCTGAAGACCAGGAAGGAGGTGCACATAGTCAGAATGGAACAAGGGGGAAAAGGCAGAAGAGAAAATCAGATCCAGTAGGTCCTAAAGGCTAGGTAATGACTTCATAGGTTTTTATTCTGAATAGATGAGAAGCCATTGGAAAACTTTATTGTTCTTGTTTTAAAAGGATGATTTTAGTAGATGTGTTGATAATGTGCTCAAGAGAGTCAAGGAGGCAAGAGGGGAAACCAGTGAGAAGAGCTACACAATGGTCTAACCAGGAGATGACCATGGTGGTCGTGACAGAGCAATGAATAGGAGTCAGATTCTCGGTACTATACCTGGAAGGTAGAGCTAGCTCATAGGATTTACAAACAAATGGGTGCAAAATATGGAGCAGAGAAAACCGTAACTGATCGTGCTTTCCTTACCTCCTTCTAGATTCTAAATTTCAAGAAGAGCTACACAATGGTCTAACCAGGAGATGACCATGGTGGTCGTGACAGAGCAATGAATAGGAGTCAGATTCTCGGTACTATACCTGGAAGGTAGAGCTAGCTCATAGGATTTACAAACAAATGGGTGCAAAATATGGAGCAGAGAAAACCGTAACTGATCGTGCTTTCCTTACCTCCTTCTAGATTCTAAATTTATTTTGCCAGTTATGACTGTCTCCTATAATTAATAATCTGAGTTTCCTCGAAATAACATTAAATAAGTATGTATTTTCCAACATCTGTGTACCTGTGGTGGTAGCAAGTGCTAAGATGCAGAGAATGAAAGGGAGTCAGGGATGCTGTTTCAAACAGGATGATAATGGAAGCAGAGAAACAAAGTGAGAAAGTGAGTGCACACAAAAGTGGGAAACAATGTTCCCAGTGAGGTAACAGCAAGTGCAAAATATAAAATAATGTATCACAAGTTTATCTCAAAATCGCAATCACAGTTAAACACGCATTTGTAATAAGGTTATAGATACAATGAAAGGTAACTCAATATGAATTCTGGCAGATATAATTATGCCTAACTTTCACTATTTAAAAGGATGACAATATTGGTCTAGTCACTAATAAATAGAGATATAACCCTACCCTTATTCTTTTGATTTTCTTCTACCCACCTGAAGAGGTCTCCAAATTTACTTCTGAGGTGGCTACATGACACGTAGAGATCATAGAGGTAGGCTAAGATGCATCTCTCAGGAGAAGAGCACTCTGAGGGATTCACAACATGCTTTACCACACTACACAGCCTGAGGAGACAGCATGTGAGGAGTGAGATATACATGTTGCTAATACATAAGCTACTGTTTAAATCTTTTAGAGAATATGTCCATTTATTACTTGTATAAAAAAGTATTAGATTGTTGACACTAATCATTATAACAGTAGTAAATAATTAAGAAAAATATCAGTTTATTATAATATTAAAATACTAGATATTTTTTTAGAAAACTTCAAAAATGGCATTAACAACAAGAAAAATAGAAATTCCTCCATACAGAAAGTATATATGAATGAATCTATCAATTAAGTTGCTGTGACTAGAACATAAAGGAATGTTAAAGTAGAGAATCTCTCCTCAGCAAAAAAATTCACTAATTCAGTGAATTTTCAAAGATCCCCAAATCTACTTCTTTGTTAAGGAACAATTCTTAATCAGTAAATCTGGGGAATCCATTTTTAAACCATGAGCTGGTGCTCACATGAACCTGGTGAATTCACAGTTAGAGGTCACATTTCCCTTGTTTCTCCAAACTAGAAACAAATTTACATTAGTTTATCTCATATAAGAACCAAATCCCCTTCCCCTTAGAAACATTCCCTGAAGTCTTTCAGTTCAAAGTACCATTGCTGCTGCAATCTGTGCCATTTCCCCAAATCCTAACTATGGCCTCTTTCACCCCAGTTTATACAACACAAAAGTTCATATAACAGAGATAAAAAAGTGGTCCAGCCCCCTCTTCGTGAATCTGATGCCACCACCACTTGTATTCTGTTAAAGGGTTCAGCCTATGATAGCGTGATGGTTCAGATTATTAAAGCTCAAATGGGCTTTAGAAATGAACTGACTCATCTTCCTCATTTTACAAAGAGGGCTCTAAGGCTCAGAAAAGTAAAGTGACCTGCTCATAGGCTAAGAGCGAGTTCACAGCAGATCCAAGAGAGCTTAGGTCTCCATATTCCCAAGCCACAGTTCACTCCACTATTTAGAGAACAGGGTGAAGCCAGAGGGAGCCTAGGATACTCAGGCCAAGAAGGAATCACAAATACCAGATGTGGAACTCAGGAAAGTACAAGAGGAAATGGCAATATAGCATTCCAAACTCTATGAAATGGCATCAGCAAACGGAGCCAGTGGGCAGCAGATATAAGCTGTCAATTATAGCAAAAGAGTCACATAATTATGGAAAACAGATTCAATCAACAGTTAACTATATAAACAAAAAATTCCAAATATAACCTAAAAAGCAAAGAATTATTTTGTAAATAAACATTTATGGGGAGTATAACAGTCAATGTTTGTAATCAATGTTTTCCTCATTTTTTTTTCACTTGCCATTGGAAAGAAAAACATTTTACACTGAGATCCAGTATATCCATTCATATAAGTACAGAAAAACAAAATAATAATTTTGGGTAAAATACCCTTACTATGTACGATAAAGTAAAAATATAATAAAGTTAATATTAAATATGATTTTATGAACATTTTATAAAATAAATTTAAAATGTCAAAATAAATACTGAAATGAATTTCAAAATAAACAAAAATAAAAAATATGCTTGTCAAAAACCTATTATATTCATTTAATGACCAACTAATGGGTTTCATGCAGTTTAAAAAGCATGGTGTAGATTAGACAGCATGAGTGAGCTCCTAGTTCGAAAGACTTTCAGCAGCCTGGGAGATTTAGTGATGTGATGCTGGGTATATCCCTTCGCCAACCACTTCCTTTAACAAGCCTGAGTTTCAGTCTCTTCACTTGTAAAGTGGTATTAATTATTCAACTGCACAGGGTAGTTGAGGGCCATATTAAACAGTCCTATATTTCCTGAATTCTAACATGTTAATTTTTTCACATGTGAAACTATCTTGGATATTTCAGATTTCACTTAATAATCTTCATGCATAATTAATGTGATAGCACTTCCTTTTCCCTGAGAGAGCTGCTGTTAAATGGATGTTACTCTTGAATAGAGTATAAATTGATTACATGTATTAGATCACAAAAAAAGAGTACTATAGAACCAAAGACCCCCATGTTTCTTTTGAACCCAGGAGGAAAATGGAAGAAAAAGAAAAACAGGTTTTCTTTTTTTATATAAAAGCCTGGGAAAGGAGTGAGTCTTTGGTGGACAAAAAGGAGCACAGTATAGGGTTTTTTGAGAGCTAATTATTCTACCCAGGTCCCTGTAACCTCAGTCTCTAATGGGGATGGTATTAGGTAATTATTAACCCACTAGTAGTAGTAGAGAAAACATCATACTACAATTCACACAAACCAAAAAAGACTAAGAATCAAGAAAGTCACTGTTTCGATTATCTTATCAAAAGATAGGTTTAGTTTATTTAAAACAATGAAGTTAAAGAAGTAAATCTCTAAAATGACAATGCATGCAAAGCTTATTCAGTGTTGGATTCTCCAAATATAAACTGAAATTACACGAACAAAAAAGTTGTCACATGTGTGCCATTCATAATTACCCACGATACTGGGTACGGCAGATGACAGAGTGCTATAAATGACAGGCTTGTATTTGTAGAAACCAGGGGGAGGGAAGTAAGGCAGGATGGTAAAGAGAAAGGAAAAGAGAAAGGGAGAAAGGCATCACACATTTTAAAAAAAGAAAATACTTTTTCATTCTTATAACTCTTTTTTGGTACATGTTTTCTTACAAAAGTATTCTTTAACTATGTTATATCTCTTTATTGAAATAAATATCAATACTATTTTTCTCTACTATACTATACTATCCTATATAATAAAAGGCTGATATGCAAATCGACCGAACAGCAAATGACTGGTTGCTATGACACACACTGACCACCAGGGGGCAAGACACTCAATGCAGGAGTTGCCCCCTGGTGGTCAGTGCGCTCTCCTTGTGGGAGTGCACCAGAAGCTGGGCTGATAGCTGGCTAGCACAGTGGCAGTGGCGGGAGCTTCTCCCGCCTCCACTGCAGCGCTAAGGATGTCCGACTGACGGCTTAGTCCTGCTCTCCATGGGGAGCAGGCCTAAGTTGTCAGTCGGACAGCCCCTGAGGGCTTCCGGACTGCGAAAGGGCACAGGCAGGGCTGAGGAATCCCGCCCCCCGCATGTACAACATCCCCCCAGTGCACAAATGTTGTGCACCGGGCCTCTAGTAATATTATACTACTAGAGGCCCGGCGCACAAAAATTTGTGCACTCGATGGGGGTGGGGGGGTCCCTCAGCCCGGCCTGTGCCCTGTCGCAGACTGGGACTCCTCGGGGGATGACCACCTGCTGGCTTAGGCCCGCTCCCCGGGGGATTGGGCCTAAGCTGGCAATCAGACATCCCTCTGGCAGCGCGGGAGCCCTTGGGGGATGGCCACTTGCAGGGGGGGCGCAGGCCTAACCTGCAGTTAGACATCCTTAGCGCTGCTGAGGAGGCAGGAGAGGCTCCCACCATCACCGCTGTACTGGCAGCCGTCAGCCTGGCTTGTGGCTGAGCAGAGCTCCCCCTGTGGGAGAGCACTGACCACCAGGGG